CCAGAAGTCGCGTCGAGCAAGGTTAGCGTTCTCTCTCTTCATACTCTATTTTGTTTCATATTTTTGCGGTTTTTAAAAAAAAATGGTTCAGAACGGATTAACCGTAATTACATTGAACCTTAAGGGGAAATTTGATTCGGGACGCGACCAAAAATCGGGTCGCAACCAGAGTCGCAGAACAAATTAAGTTTGTGAACCGAGGTACCACTGTACCTCGGTAAATATATATGGCAGCGGAAGTTTCTGTAGAGCCAGCGGATGGCTGACAGAGTGGGGCAAGTAGGCATCCAGGAAGGATAAGTCTCTGATGCTGTTGCTGCTGCTTTCTCCTCCTTGCAACCATTCCTGCTGCCCAGAAAGAGCAGCTTGTTCCAGATAGGGACTGCACTCTAACAGTACCAGAGACTTGCTCCCCTTTCTGACTTAGAAAACATCTGGTGAACACCCATAAACATTTAACCCTGCACACAATCTTGTTTGTTCAGGTTCTGTAGCTTTCTCATGCTAGTTGTATTTGATCACATTAGCCAATCAGACATACCCCCTCCATTAGGAAACAGGTGGTGAGAGGCAGGATCCTGCGTGGTGGCATCAGACCAAAATTTGGTGTGAATTTGGGGCTAAAAAGAGGACAGGTTGGGCTATTTGTGGGTTGGAAGGAAGTGAAGTTGGGCTTCATCTTACTGTCTGAAAGAGAACACTTGAAACATTTTCCATCTGAAATGATGGCATTTTAATTCATACCCAAAACAGAATAGTTTTATTTCTGGATGGTACTTGAAACAAACATCTGAAAACTTGCCTACTTGTCTTTTGTATTCAAGTCACCTGAGCCAGATACTCTGTGCTTGAAGGTTTGTATTCAAACTGTTCTGAACATCCCTAGCAGATTGAGAAAGCCACTTTGGTCTAGTGCAGTGGTTCTTAAACTGTTTGGTCCAATCACCTCTTTTTCCAGTCTTGAATACAGTCATTACTTTCACAAAAACAAAAAAAAACCCCAACTGTAGTTTTATACAAGCATCTTGGCAGCAGCAGTCCCAACTAGATTCTCATTCACAAACAAACAATTATAGGTTCCTTCATGACCCCCAGGATATGCCCAAATTACCCCCAGTTTAAGAACCACTGGTCTAGTGGCTAAGGCCCTGGACTAAAAGCAGAGAAATATGAAGTCCACTCCTACGTGGAAGCCAACTGGGTGACTTTGGTCCAGTCGCTCTGTCTCAGTCTTAGGAAGAAAGCAGTGGCAAATCAATTCCAAAAATGCTTCCTAAAAACTACCTTGACTTGTCTACGTAGTCACCAATAGTCAAGACTGACTTGTAGGCAGAAAGAAAAGAGAAAAAAGAAAAGATTTAACTCAGAATGTAAGCTTTTCAGTTGTGCAAGGTTTTCATTTTGATATATTTTTAGCTAGATCATATTTGCTTTGTTTCCTAGGGAAAGCTTGACAAAGCTGTGCCTCTGTATGAGCTTGCTGTTGAAATCAGACAAAAGTCCTTTGGTCCAAAGCATCCAAGTGTGGCTACTGCTTTGGTAAACCTGGGAGTTCTTTATTGTCAAATGGTAGGTTCCCTTTTCCTTAATAATAATAAAAAAAGATAAAATGTACAATGTATACAGCTTACCCTATAACTCAAGTCTAGGGTAGTCTATGAAGAACTCAGGCAAGCAAGTACGAAACAATAGCATGAAGATAGAATTGAAAATACTTCTTTAATTGAGACAGATTGACAATAGATACACAAGGCATGCTGCTTATTATTTGGAGCATGGCTTCTGGGTTGTTGTTTTTTTCCCCACTCAAATTTTTCCTTGCTAGTACTATCTTTAAGAAAACTCAGAGGAGGGTCACAGGTTTTGGAATGGGTCAATGGCTAGCCACTTTTGAGTTCGTAGTTCATGGAGAAGCTGAAACTTTCCTCCCCCAAATCTGCCCCACTCATGGTTATAGACAGCGAAAGAAAGAAAAAAAAAGAAAAGAAAGAAAGAAGAAAAGAAAGAAAGAACCTTATGTTTGCACATGATTTTACTCATTGTAATAACTGCTACAATTTTGGGAGAGGGGACATTCACAGCTAAACCTCTTCCTGTAGGCAGAAACACTGATTTTCTAGCTTTACAGTGGATTTCGGGAAATATTTCTAAAATGCATGCCTTTGGATATAATGTTTATTTTCTTGCCCCGCCTTTAGAAAAAACATCAGGAAGCATTGCCTCTTTATGAACGTGCACTGAAAATTTATGAAGACAGCTTTGGACATATGCATCCTCGTGTAGGGGAAACATTAAAAAATTTGGCCGTGCTAAGGTACCAAGCAAATGTGTTTGTTCTATTCCAAAGAAATAAATTGCCACTAATTATAGCAACCCCTCACCTTGAGATTGATGATATAATTAAGGTATTTTGAGTTCAGGGCAGATGGTACTGAGTATTAGAAGCATGTTGTCAACAGCCATATTTTGAGGCACTCAGTCTGTTTGTAGCCCATGCAAGATCCAGCTGCATATGACTGAATGATCCCATCTTTAAACTAAAATTCCCTCCATATTGATGAGTCTAGGCTGGAATGGGAAAAATAGTTTTTTATTCCTGTTCAAGCTTTGCTGTTTACTTGAGAATTAGTCTAAGAACTGTATAAGAGTTTAGGAAATATATATATACTCCTGGTCAACAACTAGCTTTGCATGAAGGTAAGGAAGGATGCTTGTTCTTAAAACGAACTCCCAGAAATTGCTATAATTGTCTGTTAATTTAATTTAAACTCTGTGGTTTACAACACATGAAAAACCAAAGTTAACACTTTCATTTTGTAGTCATTTTATTATTTGCACGTAATAGAGGAATTAATAATAATATACTCTTGGCTACCCCACAGGAAGCTATGGTTTGGCTGGTGGATGTTTCTGTGTCCACAGATGACTTGGTTGTGAGAAGTATATAGTGAATATAGACCATGTATCTTTATTAAGTCCTAATTTCCTTTTTCCCCAAAGCTATGAAGGGGGTGAGTTTGAGAAGGCTGCCGAGCTCTATAAGAGAGCCATGGAAATTAAAGAAGCAGAGATGCTGGTAATTGGTGGAAAAGCTACTTCCCATCACTCATCAACTGGAGACACCCTCAGTATGAAAAGTGCTTTTTCTCCAAATATGTTTTTTCAACATGGACAAAGATAATGGAAGGTAGCATATTAATCATTAAAAGGAAACATTTGAGCTGAAGAGAAATAAGGTTCCATCTTAAGAAAAGTGAAGAGAAAATAAAAGTTAAAAATTAGGATTAATTAGTTAACACTGATCTTGAGCATATTATATTAATCTAAGGCCCATTGATTTTAAGGATTTAGCTAACGCTTCAAAAATTATTATCAATTGTAAACTACATTTTCCATTAGTATCTGCACTGTTAAGACAGCTATGGTATTAATTTCTTCTACCTCTTTTAGAAACAATTTGAATTGCTAAAATGTTTCTAGAATGTTCAATAAATATCTGCTCCCAATTATGTAAGTAGAAATCATTTCATGACCGTTTGGATTTTTGGATTGCCATTCTTTCTTCATTATAGAAAGTAGGTATAAATGAAACTAGGAATTGACAGAACAATTACAATCTGCATACCATTGCAGAGGCTTTGATCTCAGTGAGATTTATTTTTAAAAATTAAATTGATAGTCAACATTAATTATTTGACTATTTATACAGATGAATAGTTGAGATACAGAATAAGAAAACTAGATCTCTTTATAGAAATATTTAAAAATAATAACACAAATGTCTAATTGTTAAAAAGTGTAGACTTTGGAATAGAAAAAACTTGTCTTAAAAATATGCCAGTTTCATTTGTATCTAATATGTATACTATAGTTTAGTATTATATGAATATGTTTACTCATTTTCCTTATATTTCCTTATACTTTTCTAAGGACTGTGAAATCAGTATTGTTTACATACTTCAGCTGTACTTAGTGTCCAAAGATGGGCTTGGTTTATTGAAGAAAGCCAATTTCAAATATTGGTTTAGAAAGGTGAAGTTTCAATAAACCATAACAAATATTATTCACAGTACAGGGCTGCATTTGCACTTTTTATTGTGCTTAATTGGATGACAATTGAGATTTCCTCCTGGGATGCTAGGGTGTGCAGTATATATGGATATCTGTTGGGAGGGGGAGCATAGGGATTAAATGACAACAGATATACAACTATGTCATTATGCGAATGTTGCCACTTACATACTTGCGTCAGATTTTGGGACAGAAGTATGTAAAGTGGCATTTGTATGGTGACATCACTGCAAGCATCATTTTCGCATTATTGTCATGTGTTCAAGCCACCACTGAGCATATGTCTGAACTTCAGTCTAATAGAACACTGAACTATAGAAAACTAAAGTAAAACATCACTGATTTTTTTTCCTTTTGATCAAATCTTGGAAAACATGTCATAACTGAACTATATGCTAAATATCTTTTATTTTCCTACCACTAATTGCATTTAATGGTATGTCTGCTTGAATCCTTTTTATACTTCAACAGCTAGGAAATAAACAAGATATTTAAACTTGTTCTTTAGTCTTATATAAATGAATTCATGACAGTTTTGAAAATTAACTAGTTTAGTGTCCTTGTTTTCTTTTAATAAAAAAATAATAAATGGACTGTAATTTCTCATAGTCATTAAAAATCTAAACCTCTGAGTTAAAAACATTGGAGATATGCATATTTCTCTAATTAGGGTTTTTTCTGTTTGTGCTACCTTGTTGCACCTGTCCTAACCAAACATGCATAATTTGAATTAAACTTGATTAAATGCAGTAAATAGTCATTATTTTGGAGTAAAAACTAGATTGTTACTTAAGCCTAGATTACTAATGTTAATATTTCTTTATACTGGTACAGCATGAAGCAGCAAACCACAAACTAGTAATATATTTTTAGAAAAAAATGAATGAAATTATTAAGAGTGTCAACAAAATCAACAGGATTTTGAAAATTATCAAGATAAGAACTGTACTTCAGAAAGTATTTATCGTATGTACACAAATGAAACCGGCCTGTGGAAGCTGAATTTTCTATATATTGTAGTATTTTGAATTTAAAAACCATGTGACAAAATTATTTAAGAGTTCAGCATTCATGTGTATGGCACTGGGAACAAAACAAGCATAGTACTGTAACCAGAAACAGTTATAAAAAGAATGGGTTTCTAAATTATCAGTGATGAACTTTTTCCATGCAGTTCAAGAACTTTTAAAGTTTTACAAAGTCTGTAATGATAGCTAATTGAATAACTCTGCCTTTATTCTTGGTATTCGTTATTTTTAACAAGACTGTTAGCTAAGTTCAAAGTCATAGGAGTAAACAATTATAAAAATGAATTGTAAAAATTCATTGAAATACCAGTAGTAGTATAATAATCTATAGCACCCTTTAGAAGTATCATATTGAGCAGTTAACTATAGTATTGTTTTTCATTGTCATTGTTGCAATTTTGGGCACATGGAGCGTAACTTTTGACCGGTTCCATTTATGCTATTCTTGTACTCAAAAACTTAATGTTTAAAAGGTCTTCAACACTCACTAATACTGCAGTTCAAAGTACACTGTTGTACATTAACTGCAAGTTACAAGACAAGTGCATTTCTATAAACAGCTTTAGAAATACAGATTTGGAAGGTCTTTTTCCATGAATGAAGTTGCATCACACTGAAACTGGTTATAAAATTATGGCCACAATAGAATTAAATATAGATATTTCAACTGGTTCTAGTCATGCTTCTCAGGTATCTAAATTTACAAATAAATGCTACTTTTAAAAAGCTGAAAGCTTGAAGTGGGAAAATCTCTTTTACCTAGGGCTACCAAATCTGGATTGCAAAAATCCAGATCACTGTTGTCAGTCATTCAGCCATTTTTGACCCTTTGTGACCTGATAAATAAGAGTTTGGCAGGATTGTCTGTCAGTAATTGCTTGATTTGTTGTAAGTTCATGCTTACAATCAGTAATATTGTATAGCCAACTTGTTTTCTGCAGGTCTTCTCCAAAGTCTATTGTTTTTGCATCAAAATACTAAATATTCATTAGTGCTTCCGGTGAGCCATCTTGTTTTACTTTATGTAGTTTATCTAGACCTTACCTAGACTTTAAAATTAAACTCTTTATCTTCTTGCTGTCAACAGTTTTCTCCAGCAGCACAGTACAAAGACATCACATTTTCATTGTTCAGCCTTTCTCATAGTCAACTTTTCGCAGCCATACATTATGACTGGGAAGACCACAGCCTTGACAGCAGTTACCTTTGGTAGTAGAATGATGTCTCTGTACTTTGGTATTTTGACTAGATTTGTCACAGTCTTTCTCCCAAGAAAATTTATTTCATGGTTACAGTTGCTATCTCTGGATTTTTGACCCAAGGAATTTCTGCATGCAATTGGAATTTCAACTTACTTCTTTTAGTCCAGCAACTCTCATGATATGTTCTGCTTATAAGTTAAATGGACAGGGTGACAGTATACACTCTTGACACATATTGTGATTTATATCAAAAGCCTTAGCACAATCAGTAATGCAAAAATAAATATCGTTTTGGAACTCTGTTGCCTTTTCCATTATCCATCAGATGTTTTCAATGTGGTCCTGAGTGCCACTGCCCCTTCAACAACCATATTATACCTCTGGCAGTTTTCATGCCATGTATTGTTGAAGCCTTAACTGCAAAATCTTAAACGTTATCTTACTTGCATGTCAAATGTGTAATTGTTTGGTAGTTTGAGCATTCTTTAGCACCGCCTTTTTTGGTATTGCAATACTGATTTATCTTTTCCAATCTTTTGGCCAATATGTTTTCCATATCTGTGTACAAACTGCAAGCAACACATCAACAGCATTATCTTGCAAGATTTTAAAAACTTCTGTTGGTATTTCATCAGCAGCTTTGCTGTTAACAGCATTTTCTAGAGCCCATTTAATTTTACTTTCCAAAATGTCTGACTCTAGCTTAGTGATTATACTTCTATATCTGTCAGTGATTTTGTGGATTTACCACTAAATGGAAGGAAAGAGAGAATTACAGGTAGTTCTTGACTTATGACAGCAATTGGGACTGGGATTTCTGTCATTAAGCAATGCGGTGGTAAAACACGACAGCAATCCCTGCAGTCCTGGTTGCCATTGTTAACTGAATCCCACAGTCATTAGGTGAGGAAATTTCCTGCCAGCTTCCTGCAACCAAGTCAGTGGGGAAGCTGGCAGGAAGTTGCAAGTCCAAGGCGGCTTGCAAGCAGGCCAGCAGGCAGGTAAGTGGTTGCTGCCAGGTGAGGGGAGGTGCAAGGGGGTGCACGAGGATGCAAGGGAGGTATGGGGAGGCTTGGGGAGGGTGTGAGGGAGGTGTGAGGGTCAGGGAGGATGTGTGAGGGATGCATGAGGGTGCAAGGGAGGCATAGCGAGGCTTGAGGGAGGGAGGTGTGGCAAGGCTCGGGGCGGGTGTGTAAGGGTGCAAGGGAGGCGTGGCAAGCTTGAGGGTGCGCAAGGGCGGTGCAGCAAGCCTTGGGGAGGGTGTACAAGGGTGCAAGGGAGACATGGTGAGGCTCAGTGAGGGTGCAAGGGAGGTGTGAGGCTCAGGAAGTGCGAGGGAGGTGTGGCAAGGCTCGGGGCGGGCGGGTAAGGGTGCAAGGGAGGCGTGGCAAGCTTGAGGGTGCGCAAGGGCGGTGCAGCAAGCCTTGGGGAGGGTGTACAAGGGTGCAAGGGAGACATGGTGAGGCTCAGGGAGGGTGCGTGAGGGTGCAAGGGAGGTGTGAGGCTCAGGAAGTGCGAGGGAGGTGTGGCAAGGCTTGGGGTATGCGCAAGGGTGCGAGAAGTGCAGCAAGGCTTGGGGAAAGTGTGAGGGGTGTGTATGAGGGTGCTAGGGAGGTGCGGCAAGGGTTGGGGGTGTGTGCATGAATGTCAGGGGAGGCACGGCAAGACTCAGGGTATGTATGAGTGGCCAGTGCAGTGCAAGCACAGAGGGGCTGAGGGAGGGTGTACGAGTGGGGGAGACTTACCCCAGCAACTTGTGACCTTCTCTGCTGGTTTCCCCACTGACTTTCTGGGGAAGCCAGCACAGAAGGTCAGAAATGGTGATCACATGATCGTGGGGCGCTGCAATCAATCGTAAGCCCGAGCCGGTTGCCAAGTGCCCAGATCGCGATTACATGATCGCGTTGGTGCTGGGATGGCTGGAACTCTGAGGACTGATCGTAGCCACCATTTGTTCAGTGCTATCATAGCTGCAAATGGTCGCTAAACAAATGGTTATAAGTTGAGGACTACCTGTATATGCATCTCTTTGCTGCCACCTAATACTCATTCACACTTTTTGGCTAGATCTTGTAAACCTATTTTCATCTATATGCAGTATTCAACAGATCCTAAGTATATTATCAGTTATCAGCATCAACATTTGATACACATCTCTGATGATCTACAGGTAAATAACATCACTGAAACTAAATTAGGTTCTTTGTTCTACCAAAGGCTCCAGTCTATTTCCTCCATGAGCTTAAAACTGACTCTAAGGGTTGTGAAGTCTAGCCTTTGGGTTTATATTTCATTCTTGATGTGGTTCAGATAGGATTTTTGACAGTGTGAATTATTTTCCCATTAAGTTTAATCATAGATACAGTGATTTGAACAATCAAGAAGCTTCCTTTCACTATATGGCCAGTGTGTTTGTGTAAGTCTCATCTCATCCCAACAATTGTAAGTATTTGCTCAACTACAACGCTAATACTCTTGTTTTATATCCATTGTTTCATCTGTTATATAACATGACCAGTTATGCAGACGTATCTTTTAATTTTGGATGCAAAATATAAAATTCTATCAAATATACAGAAATGAATTGTGAGCCAAAATATAATGGAAACAACAACAGACATGTATGATGAGTTACAAACCAAGTGAGTTTAGATTAGCGCATAATGCTAAATCATGATTTTAAGCATACTATGGCATTATCAGCCCATGAAAAGTATTAAACACAAATTCTTCTCCTTTCCTGTATGTCGGTGAAAGAAATACTTCGGTTTTGTTTTCTTTACAAGTTATGTAAAATCCAAACACTATGTTTTAAAAATCAAGTCAAATTCCCAAGTGAATAAACTTCAGACTATGGATTGTCCACCTGGATTGTTTAATATAATTGAGTTTCCTTTAAATCATGTGTTCTGATTTGTATATGACAGCAAATAAAGAAAATTAAATTTGGATCATGGTTTATTGCTCCTGCTGGTTGCAAAACAGCAAAAGAGGAATCTTCCTACTTAAATTTTGCTGAGACTTGTAAAAATTTGTGCATGTAATACAAAACCAGTCTTGAACAACTTGGCTCATTTTGGCGTCCAACTGTCATAATTACTGTCCAAGATGCATAAGACTCAAACTCCAAAACATCTGGAGAAGGAACTCTACACTTAATTCATGATTTAGCATTATGGGTGAGTTAGCACAGTGGTATTTCAAAAATTAAATACAGCTACAACTACTGCAGTTTTTAATTTTTCTAAACATTATAAGGGACACTAGAACTTCTGTCAAATTATTATTTTACTTGTCCTATATCTAACAAACAAACTTTTACCATTCAGGAAATACCTTCATACTTGATTTGATTAGAAATACCACTATCATTCTCGTATTATCAGATTGCTTTAATTCCTGCTGGAAATTTGGACCCTCATAGCTTCTAATAATGTATTAACTTATGGGAATTCAATGATGTTCATACCAAAACAGAGTGATAAACAAATATTACTCACAAAAGGCCAAATTTAGCCAGAAACCATTAAATAGCTATAAAGCATTGAAATTAACACATTCTTGAAACCTTCTTTGTTCTATATATTCTTCATTTTAGCCATAAGTTCTTCTAGACTTTCTTCAGATTCCTCAACAATTTCTCCAGCTGTAGCATTCTCTTCCTGTTAATGATAGAAAGGAAAAATAACACCTTCACATCCAATCTCTCTTTCACCCAAAGAATCTCAAAGAGTTCAGGTTGCTAAGCAAGTATAATGGATGTATATTGTATTATGCAGATCATGTAGACTTTATGCAGAACACATTGTTAATGATAATTGGTTTTTAAGTAAAAGATTGTGAAATATACTATTCACTGGTTTTCACTGCTAGATTCAACTGAACACACTGAAGCAGAGCATTTGTTCCAGAAGGTAGAGATAACCAAATCTGGCAGCAGTGTTAGTACAAATCAATGCTTGTGCTCCTGCTACTGTTTCCATAGTAATGGACAACTTAATGATACACTCATGGGGAAGTAAAGCAAGCTTAGAAAGCAACAGCTTTAACAAAGTTTAGCAAAAGCCAGTTAAAGACATTCCAAATAAAACATACTGGATTAGATCCTAAAAACACATTTTAAGGATTTGAACACCAAGCATTTCTATTACCTTGTTTGGTATTGTGTATGCCAACATGATTCCTTCTGGAAGATCAGGAACTGGACCAGAAGCAGCTTTCAGTTCTTCTTCTGAAACCTCCGAAACTAACTCTATACCTAAATACCCCCCCCAAAAAACATATAAAGACAAAGTAGTGTAATTTAACAAAATGCATGATAATCTTAGAAAGCTTTAAAAAACCAAGTATTAGGTTTCTTGACTAATTTAGATTGTTTCATTTTACTCTTCCCTGTCCAGAGAACCTAAATGGAAATAAGTAATATTTAGAAAGTTCTACTGAATGTACTATTTATGCTGGGCTAAATAACACCAGTATGTCCACATTATGGCCTTTAAGTTTTCTTCTTATTAACAGTATGTCCTTTCATCTTCTGCATTCTCTCTTGTGGAAAAAAGTAAACTGGTGTCCTTTAAGGGCTCAGTGATGCCCTAGGGAAAGGTCAGGATACTTTAACTTGCACCCTCATAAAGCTTCATGGAATATAGTTACCCTATCTTATGGTGGGCATTTCAAGGTCAACAAGGGAAAGAGTGGGTCTGCATTTTTCTAATGGGGCTTCTCTTAATCTTCCATCTTCTCTGCCAGATAAAATGGATTGCATTCAAATGATTAGTATTCAGCAGTGTCCTCTGAAAACACCAACAGATCAATTTGACCCTTTCCACTGGTTGATCAGATCAGCTTTCTTCCCTAGAAATTTCCCATGTTCCCAGTCTGCTCTAGGAAGTTGTGAGATCCTCAAATTGTAGTAGTAGCTCTCTTGATTTCCTTTTTAGAATTGGCTGGAGATCTTCAGGGGCAAAGAAATAAAGTGATAGCCATCACAAAGGGGATTAGTTTTAAACACTGAAATAAAGAAACTTGCATTGTTTTCATGAGTTTTTTTTTTTTTTAATTCACTGCTCACCCCAATCATTGTCCTCATGAACTATCTCTTCTTCCTGATCTATTAGTTCTTCTTTTGGATTTGCTGCTTCCTTTTTCTGGAGGTACAAAGACATTATAACCAGCAACAAAAACATTCTAATTAAATAAAAGCAAAGTTAAATAAAGGTGGCCCTCATTATTTGTGGGGATGCTGTTTAAGCCTAACAACTCTGGACAACGAACCTGAGAATAACAAAACCTTGAAAAAAATATACAGTCAGGTCCAGAAATATTGGGACATCGACACAATTCTAACATCTTTGGCTC